TCCCTTCTTTCATTTTCCTCTTCCTTTCTTCATCTTTATTACCACTATTCCCGTCACCCATTCACTTAATCAGAACAATCATACACTTTTCACTTTTGTAGAATAATATTGTAAAAAGGAATTTGTATTTAAATGGACAGTGACTGAAGATTAATAACAACTCATGTAATCATTTTTTTTAGAGAGCATGTAAGTGGAGTTTTTTTTTTATTATTAATATTCTACAAAAAAAAAAAAAAAAAGTTAGAGAATTGATTCACTTTTCAAACTATTTGGGAAACTAACCTACTTTTTGAAATCGCATTTTGAAAATACGATATTGAAATTGAAATTGAATTTTCAAAATGTAATTTCAAGGTGAAATTGTATGCTGAAAATACAATTTCAATTTCATGGCCCTCTCACCCATATACTCAATCAGGGCAGTCTTACACTTTTCACTTTTATAGAAAAATATTGTAGAAAGGAATTTGTATTTAAATGAAGAGTGACTAAAGACTGGAAACAACTCATATGATCAGATAAAAGAAAATCTTTTGTTTTTTTTTCTCTTTGAGAGGATGTCAGTGGAGAGAAAATGAGAAAGTAAATTTTGTAGAGACAAAAACAGAGAAAACCACGTGGGTGTATGAAAAAATTAAAAAAAAAAAGAAGAAAAAAATATATATATATATATATATAATGGTGGGACAAGTCCATGTGATTGAGTTGAAAAACAAATTGTTTTGTTTGAATAAAATAGACCTGAGAGACAGAATGTCGGATGGGTTTGACTGTAAAAATTGTGAAGGATGATGGGTTTTATTAAACAATTATGGATGATGGATTTTATTAAAAAATTGTGGGTTTGGGAGACTCTGTGAATCTGAGAGATGGGTAAATTTGAGAAAGGAAGAGGAAAGATCTTGAATGTGGGCTGTTGGTTGAGCATGCTAGAATGTATCCTACATTATTTGGAGTTGTCTCATCTGTATTGATTATAAAGTTATAATTTTCTTCTCTATAATACTTGAGTTTTAAGGAGAAGTGCGAGCTGTACCTTTCAATTTGGTATGAAAACTTAGTTGGGCCTGTAATTGGTGTGTCGTTTGTCCAGCTACTATATGTTGTGGTCTTTCTCCTTAATATTTGAGTTTTAAGGAGAAGTGTGGGCTGCACTTTTCAATTTGGTATCAGAGCTTGGTTGGGCCTGTGAGTGGTGTGTCGTTTGTCTGGCTACTATATATTGTGGTCCATGAGGGTGTGTTGGAATGTGTCTTACATCAGTTGAAGTTGTCCCATATGTGCTGGTTATAAGGCTCCACTTTCTTTCTCTTTAATACTTGGATTTTAAGGAGAAGTGTGGGCTGGGCTTTTCAATTGAGCAACGACGAAGGAAGGTGGCCGGAACTTCTGGCATGATGGCTGGGAGGAAAAGGCCGAAAAGAAGTCAGCGTGATGGCTGGAGCTTATAGATTTGTGGGCAACGGTGAAAGATGGTGACGATGGTCGGAGTTGTAGCTAGTGTGATGGTCGAAGCTATAACTGTAACAAGGCGGTGATGAAAGGGTTTGATGTGTTTGATAAAAGGATAGGTTTATAGGCAGCAAAGATGGCGGAAATGCTGGAGTTGGGAGATGCAGTGGAGTGAAGGCGATGATGCTGAAGAAAGTCTGGCCACTATGGTGAGACAGCAGATAGGACTGAGGTCCAACGAGTAGCCAAGGCAAAGTTGCAGCTCGCCGGTAAGGCGAAGAACACCAATAACTTAACCTATAGCTCTGATACCACGTTATAATATCTGTGAGAGAGAGAGAGAGAGAGAGAGAGAGAGAGAAATTTGTATTATATTGAATAATGTTATAATAATATTATTTGTAACTATTATAAGAGATGACCTATATATCAGACTTATATGGCGTGCTAATTGTTAAAATAGTAGAGAGAGAGGAAAATATTATGTATTATATATATTCAATCTATCAATTACAATAGCAGAAGCATGTATATATAGGCCAAGAAACCTAGGTGTACAGGAAACCTAGGTGTACAAGAATACAACAGTCCTAAGTATAATAGGAATAGATAACAACTAAAACTAATCAATAAATCATGAGAATAAGAAAACCTAACAAATATGGAAAATAATATACTCTAGATATGCTTTAACAGTTTGATCTAAATTATACTTTGGTCTTTATCGTTTCAATTTGAATAATTTGGTCCTTACATTTTAAGTTTTGTTTCAATTTAGTGTTAATTTTGCCTATATGTACAACTTAGAAAATTGATAAGCATTACATAATTGTTAATTATATATAATTTTCAATTTGGATGAAATGACCAAATTGAAACTACTTTTAAAGTGTAAGGATCAAATTATTTAATTTAAAACTATAGAAACTAAAATAAAATTTAACTCAAACTATAGGGGTGAAAAGTGTAATTTACTCAAAATTTATTAAATCGTTTGGCTGAAGAATTGGGTTTCTTCTTTGCTCTCTCTATATATATGGACATCAAACTATTCCATAATCCCCAAACAGAAGTGAGTTTTTTGGGTGCTGTACATATATGGATTTAGCTAGTGAATTGAGTTTTGAAGAAGTTTAGTTGTGTACAAGGATCTCAAACTAAAGTACATCCACTCAAGTGCTCATGGCTTCATCTCATGAAAAAGAAAAAGCAGAAGCTGCAGCCGCAGTAGCAGAAGAAGAAGACGAAGAAGAAGAAGAAGAAGTACATCCACTCAAGTGCTCATGGCTTCATCTGATAGTGTAAAAGAAGAAGCACAAGCTACAGCCAGAGGTAAGGTTACATGTTATATAAAGGATTGTGATCATTTTCATTACATATTTCTAATGAATAAATTCCATTATATCATCTGGTAAGTATAATTATTATTTTTAATTTAAAATAATTATAAATTTATATTCTTATTTTATAAACATTAAATATATAATCTCTTCATTATATATATAGAATGGAAAAAATCAAAGTCCAATCATCCATTGCCATATCATTTCGTCTTCATTTGTTTCATGTTTATATATATACCTATTTCTAATTCATCTAAAAATTTATATTGAAACACATGCCAATATTTTTAGTTATATGGTACACAATGAGATTTGAGCATTGTATCTATTTGTCTACACTACAGGAATTCGCACTTTTGCCGATTAAAAATTTAGTCGACAAAAGTTCATTTTTAGTCGGCAAAAGTTATCCGTGACTAATTTTTTTGGTCGCCATTTTGGTCGCCAATTGAGGGTCGCGGAAAGTAATTAGCGACTAAAAATTTTTTTAGTCAGGAAAAAATTCTATTTGCCGACTAAATTTTTGATCACTAAATACATAATTATCGCGACTAATCCATTTTGTAGCTAAAAACTTTAGTCGCCAAAAGTGATATTTTCCCGACTAAATACGTTAGTCACCAATTGTCACATTTCCCGACCAAAATTGTTAGTCGCCAAAATTAATGTTTACACAACTAAAACTTTAGTCGGCAATAGACCTATTCGCGACCAAACATTTTGGTTGCCAAAATTAATAATTTTACCGACTAATTGTTTAGTCGCCAAATGTACCCTTTCATCTACCAACATTTTGGTCGCCAAATGTGAATGGTGAAACACCGACTAATCACTTGGTTGCCAAAAGACGAAAAGCCAAACCCAATTTTGGTCACCAAATCAATTCTTTTCTTTATCAAAATATAAATAAAATATAAAAAGAATTCCATTTGACCTATATGATATACAATAATCAATCGAAACCATTTAATATAACTTGTAATTTGAAAGAATCATTCAAACCAACAAAATCAACTGAATCATGAACATTCAACAGAATACGTAAATCAGCCAAAAATTAACGTGTTTAATTAAAATCAACTATTATAAGTTTTCATCCACAAGTAATTCCAAACTACATAATCGTTCAATTAAATATGTCATGTAATCTATATAATTATCCAATTCACATATAGTATAAAAATTTAAAACATAACAAGTAGTTGTTATTATGTTTTAAATTTTTATCCATATCCATCTATCCAAAAATATATGTAACGACCCAAATAAAATAAAATAAAATAAAAATAAAATAAAATAAAATAAAGAAATGTTGTGGTGGAAAATTATTTGAGAGGGTTGCTCACTTTCAGTGAAAGAAAATGATTAAAGATAAAATAATGCACTCTCTTGTCTCGCTCTCGTGGGGTATGATGAGTAGGAGGAGGGGTTTGAATATTAATATATCTCCTTGTCTCTTCTCTTAGTTACAACCTTTTTTTTTCTCATCACTCATGAGCATTACACACAGAGGCTCTGTAATTGTTTGCAACAATGGCGACGACCACCACTCCTCTCTATTTTTCCTCTTCAATTCCAAAACAGAGCTACTCTACAAATCCACACACCGTTTCTTCTCTCTCTTCTCGCATCTCCAACGCCAAACGATTGTCTCTCTCTATCCAATCACCGCCACAACCGGCGGCGGCGGTAGTAGTGGCTGAAACTGCTAGTGCAGTTGTGGAAGTTGAGCCGAAGAAGACCGTTGCTACTTCGTCCAATTCTCTGCCTTTTCCGAGTCAGGTATGGCTTCGATCTCCACAGATTGGAACCTAGATACCCTCTCATCATCGGTGGCATCGATATCCCCCACAATAGAGGCTGCGAAGCTTACTCTGATGGTGATGTGTTGCTTCACTGTGTTGTTAATGCAATCTTGGGTGCTTTATTGGGCAGAAGCTTTGATGACACTGAGCCATACCTTGCAAATAATAAGCAAACAGGTAGAGTTCATGCTGTGCCTGATAACAACCTTTTAAAAAGTTTGCTGTAGAGAAAGACAAGGCCAGTAATGTTGAAAAGATCAAAGTTGTGGTGTGAAAGAGGCCACTAAATAAAAAGGAGCGGGCAAATTTGTTTTTTTTGAAATTAGTAGATCACAGAAGCTCGAAAGAATGTAGTTCCAGCAGTCCTAAATATAGAACTCCTCTTCCTAAAGAGATTATGGAATCATTGATAAATGGTGAATTGGTTTTGCCTTATTCAAAACAGTTTTCATTGCCTTTAGTTATTTCTTGTCCAAGTGGAAGTAGAGAATCTTACTACTGCAGTAAATTATGTGAGGAGGCTAATTGGGACTTGTTTCATTCTCTACTTTGTACAGGGGCAAGATCAAAATCATTAAATAAGGAGGCACTTCTAAAATTTATACAACATGCTAATGAAACAAATGACATTTTCCTCCTAGCTGCCAAGGTGGTTTCGTTCACCATTTTAAAGTACAAGAAGTCAAAAGCAGCTAATCTTGAAATGGAAGGGAAGTGCACTACTGACAGCTGTAATCTTTCTCTGCTTTTGGAGGCATGGAAACCGATATCAGCAGCATACAAGAGAAGCTGGTGGGAGTGCATTGCTTTACCAAATGATGTTAATTGTCACAAAGAAACTGCATTTAGGATGTAAATAAAGGAGATGGCATTCATGTCAAAGTGAAGAGTTTGGTGAGAGCAACACTTTGATCGATGGAGATCAAAATTCGGCAAAATCGAAAATTTGGATTTTTGCTTGTTTCCTCTTCAAGCTTGAGGTAGGGATTTCCTACACTCTAATATAGTTTTTAGCTTAGTTATTTGCTATTGCGTATAGATGATGAGATTTGGTTGTGGTTTGAACAAATCTAGGATTTGGGTGTAAAATGAAAAGAGGGGTTTTGATGAATATGAGGTAAACGAGTATGAGGCTTGAATATAAGATCATGTTGTGCCAAAATAGTTAATTTTGGTGTTTGGGTTGATATTTGGTGAAAGGTGGATTTTGCCCTAATTTTGGTTAAATTATTATTTTGTATAAATAATTGGGATTAACATTGAAAACGTAAAATTGGAAGGTTGTGATTATAAATGGTGATATTGGATATGTATTATCTCACCTATGGAAGTTTTGAATAAACTATTTATTTTGATATTGAACATCTCTTTAGAAATAATTGCATTGGGCTATCGGTGAAGGATAGCTATGATTATTATAGAAATTACATGAGGAGTAGGCGATTTAATGCTAATCCATTGTTGGTGTCATTGAATATGACCATGTTATAGATACATTGTATGTGTATGTTTATTGAGAGGAGAAAGGGGATGTACTTCATATGTGATTATGTTTATAAATACATTGTATATGTATATTTGTTTGGGAGGAGAAACGGGATGGACTCCATTTAAAGCAAGTTGGCCGAGTGTCCTGGGTGAAAGACCCGAAATTTTATATATAAATGGGTGTCGATTCCTTTGGACGAAATATCTGTAAAATGGCAGGTTTGAAGTGTTTATGTGAGTTTTGCATAATTGGAAAATCATTGAGTTGTAGTCTCATTTTGATTGTTGAAAGATAACGAATTTAACTCATGAATTGAGTAGCATATATGAACTGGAAATGAAATTAAAGGAAAATGGAATAAGGTTGGTCTTAGTGGCATATGGATATGCAGGTCTTGTGGATGTTTCAGGATCGGTATTGTTTATGTACATGGTATTTATACCTTTGTTAAACCTCATAAATTGTGTTAGATTATTTCTACTGGGCTGTTGGCTCACCCTATATGGGAATACCATTTTCCGGTACAAGTGAGATGTTTCCTCCAAGGCAATAACGTGGATGGAGTTTTGGGAAGCAAGAGCTTCTTAATTATGCCTTATGTGTGTATGTTTGTTATTTGTAAAGCCAAAGGCTTAAGATGTAATGAGCAAGACTCAATTTGTGTAACCAAGCAATGACTTGGAAACATGTAAGCCTACATGGCATTTAATTGGTTGTTAAACAATGAATTCTGATATATGAAAGTATATTGTTTCTCATATTTATTCCGCATATGAGTTATCTTTATTGTATTATTTTGGGGGCATGACAACTTCGTATCAGAGCATACCGGGTTCAAATACTTTGGGTACGTGGGGAGTGGTTAGTACCACAGTGGGTTTATCTCGCTTGATAGAGATATCTGTATGATGAGGTGCTATGTGATAACATGCTTATGTGATTATATGGGTATGGGGTTTGATTTCTGAGATGTTGATTGGGTCCGTGAGTTCCTGGAAGTCCAGTCAGAAGAGCACTTGATCATTGCTATTTCAGATTGGAACTCTAGCAATGTCATGGGACAATCATTATCTAGAAAGAAGATTCGTATGTGCTCTATGTGACTATGTGCTTATACGGTTTCCCTTATGTGATGTAGATACATGTGTAGGTTTATGGTTAATCCATATGTAGCGTGTTAGAACTAGTATGGAGCACTTACTTCTGAGCTAAATTCTGTCTCTTATATAAGATGTCATAAAGCGGGAGAGATCGTAATAGAGGCACTTGGGGTGCCCGGGATGTTCTCATATAAGAGGATACATTTTCCCGAGGAAGAAGGTGTAAGCTAGAGTAATATGGCTGGGATAATTGGTCAAGATGTTATCAAATTAGTATTGAAGCATAGGTTAACCGATTTGTATGATCGTGGGTGTAAATGTGACCTTAAAATAGTGGAGTTTGTGTTGTGTAGCGACTAGTTTGTTTTTATAAGGAGCTAATTATTTTTCAATTTTATATCAAGTTTGTGGAAGTGGACTAGATGGCAGATCTTAGAAGTAGAATGAGTTAGAGATTAACCTTATTGTAATAGTAAGGTTTGGCTGTGACTTTAATGATGATTAAAGTAATCTAAGATAATATACTTTGGATTGTTGACATTAGAACACGTAAAACTAGTTCTAAATTTTCTTGGGATAGACGAAGTTAGTTATAGTTGGATTGTTTCACCTGCTTGATGGACTACTTGTGAGGTTAGTGATGGGCCCTAGGCCAATTATTTTGTATGTGTTTGGGAATAAACGTAGTCTTAGCATGATAGAAATTATATCGTGTAGTAAAAGATGTGTTTCTTAGAGAGTTTGTTTTATTCATAATTTTGCTACAAATCCTAAGAGGGAAAATGAGATAAATAATTTTGAGATAGATTGGAATGAGATTAAATTTGATTTGGGTTACGCCACTTGATGGGATTATTAGTAGTAACAACATTGACTCGTGAGTCGATATTTTAGAATATGTAGGCAAGTTTTGAGTGCCTTCAAGATTGGTGGAGTCCATTGTCTCAGAGTTAGTTGTTGATTGTACCCAAGTGCAATAAGTGTTTAGGGATATGGTGTAATTGATGTCTCGGGAGTTGTGTTAGCAAACCAATGTCTTTTAAAAAAAAAAATTGAAATGATCATATGAGGATGTTGTGATTCGATAGAGATTATGATTAGGTGCTTTGAGATGGTTGATGTGACTATGATTTGAGTATTTTCATGAAAATTAGTGCTTGATCCATCGCGAGTGATTGATGTTAATTTTTATAGTCACTCTTACTTATGGATTAGAAATTGTGAATATAAGAAGTACACGTGAGCATTTTGGGTTAAGTTTGGCGTGTGTAGTGACAGTGATTTTCATGCAATTGAAATGGAGGTTATTTTGTATCCCTTGTCCTTTAGCTATAAGATTGTTTTGTATCCTTGGTGTAAGAGTTACGAACCCCTTATATTGATCCTTTGTTTTTCTATAAGTGTGGTGAGAATTTGTGCTATTGGTATGTTGATCTAATATTATTATTAATTGGGTTTAATTTGGATGTATTTGACCTTAAGTGGTAAGTGTTTTCTTAATTAAAATGTATTTAGTTTTGCTTAATAGAGGATGATTCCTTATTTTAATTTTCTTTCATCGTGTTTTGTGGTGATATTACCCTAGAAGAAGTTATTCGGTAGACCCTCATGAAGGAATAAATTGGTATGAAGTACTTTAGTTATTTTGTTAGTTTTGGAAATTGTTATGGGATGACTATTGTTGACATAGAAAATTTTTTAGAGTGAATGAGTGGCTTTATAACTTGTGGTAGTATCTTTTAGAATTTGGGTGGAATTGAGTTGGTTAGAGACTTCATAGAAGATTTCAAAGTAACTAAAACTAGTATTTGTTTGTGTAACCTTTTGTCTTGAAGGAAGTGAGGGAATGAGAGAAAAGAGAGAAAGAGATCAGAATTGTGGGTGTTTGGTGTGAAATTCGAGACAGAATGGACACTCTGCTATACAAAAATGTTTGAGACCTCTAAATGAGGAGCTCTAGAGAGAGTTCTAGAGAAGGGCCCTACCTTGTGATTTGATGTTTTGCTTGTGATGTTACATTTTTTAATTTTTTTTATGTATTGCCACATCACTAGAGTTGGCATTAGAGCTCCAACTTTAGTGCTCTCTATCATCACTTCTTTGTTATATGTGCGGGGCCCACTGGCTACATGAGTGGAACCTCGCGCTACATGTGCAGGAACCCCTGTTGCATGTGCAGATCTCTACAGTCCCAAAATCCACATAGCCTCCTCCCCGCCGCTCATGCGGGACCATCTCGCCGCAAGTGCGACCTTCAATCGAGCAAAACAAAAGGGGTCCCCACCTTAGACGCGGGCCCATCTACCACATGTGCAGGACTACCCAGGTGGTTAAAATTGATCTTAGGGATTCCCACACTTGCTCGCTTCATCCTTTCGCCCGAAAATGTGGTTTTCTTGATCCTGGTGCTTAGAAACTTCATTGGTTTGAAGTTTTGATTGGTGCTTACAAAGCTGATTTGGGTCATTATTTTGGGTCTTCTTCAACTATAGTTTTGAAGACTTTTTGTTCATCTATTTGGTGAGATGTTTCCTCTTTTTTATTTGTGATTATTTGGAATTCACCTAAGGGTGATTTTGTGAGACCATTTGTGTCTCGTTTGTAATCGTTTAGAAACTTATTTGGTTGATAGTGGAATCGGATTTTGATCCCGTGGACGTACCTCACATTGAGGGAACCACGTAAAAATTCTTGTGTTGCTTTTGATTTAATTTTTTCGCATTAGATTTTATACCTATTGATTGATTTACTTGTGGGAATCATCGATTTTCCTTAACAACTGGTATCAGAGCTTACGGTTTATTTGGGTTTATTTATTTGTGTAAATCAATGGAGGGGAATGTGGGTCGTATGTCTAGCTTCAATGGAAGCAATTGGGTAACTTGGAAAACTAAAATGAAGGACCTATTATTTTGTAAAGATTTGTATGCGCCTATTAAGGGAGATAGTGGCAAACCTGATGATATGAAAGATGATGAGTGGAAGAGGCTTAATCGAAAAGCCGTTGGTGTTATTCGTCAATGGATTGATGACAGTGTGTTTCATCATGTTGCTACTGAAACTTCAGCACATGATTTATGAGGAAATCAGCCACAAACAAAGCTTTTCTGTTTCGTAAGTTGGTTAATTTAAAATATAAAGAGGGCAGCCCTATTCCGGAACATCTGAATGAAATAAAGAGTATTGTTAACCAACTTATTTCTATGAAAATTGTTTTTGATGATGAGTTGCAGGCTTTGATGCTACTTAGTTCTTTGCCCGAAAGTT